AGTGATCATTGAATAATTATATTCGGATTTCTTGACTTTTAAACTTTTCTCTCGGCTATAAATATGCTCTCAACACGTGGATATCTATACTAAAACGATAACATTCTTCTAGCTTAGAGGATTAATGTGAATGTTTACAGGTTAATAGCGTATTTACAGAAAAATTTAAAAGTTGAGAAATACAAATATAATTATTCAATGATCACTTTTAATTTTATAACTGCAAAGTGGGAAATTACCGTGAATGACGTGTACATGAGAAGATGAGGTGTATCTATCTGCTTTTTTTTCTCTCACCCTCATTTTTTAATTTAAAAAATTTAGGAAATATAATTGGAGGTGATTTAGATGTTAATCACGAATAATTTTTTTTTTATAAAAAAGACCGAATGATAGCGTCAATCATGATCTTTAAATAATATTAGAAATTTTACAATAAGATATATAATAATATTTGTACCGAAAATGACCTTTTAACCATATTGAAAGATTGATAAAGAAATTTATTAATTAAAGGAAGATCATTAATCAATACATTTTTCAAGATTATTTGGATCACATGTTATTAGTTAATTAATTACATAAGAGCTACTTTTGTCTTTCCCATAGAATTATATGCACCCACTCATCCAAGTCTTTGTTTCCTCCTACAATAGTAGTTTGTTGTTTACATCTTTAGGCTCAACAAGTATCTTTAGTTCTCCTTCATGCACACAAAAAAATCAATACAAATGATAGTTATGGTTATAGTATCGACGTAACAATTAGTAATTATAAGACAATACTTTATAAATTTGATGAATAATAATGGATTTAATTGCCTTTTTATAAAAATTAAAATTTATCTAAAATTATTTTTAAAATATTAAAATACCTTTTAAAATCTAATTTAATTATGCAACAATTTAAATTAAAATAGTAAAAATTATATAAAAATTTAAAGAATGAAAATAAATTATAGAGAAAAACACAGAACAAAGGCGAATATTCTATAATTAGAAATGAGTTAGAATAATACGTAACACATGCCGTTGTTAATAAATTAATAATAATAATAATAATTTCTCATTTATCTATGCCTGTATAAAAAGTTAAGATTCACTCAGCTTCGTGTCATTGGACAGAGTAAATTATTCAGCTCGAGCACAAGGTTATTAATTTTGGGTTGTGGGATCGAGTCATACGGAGGGTATTTCATAATTTGGAGGTCTCCTACGGAAGCTGCTCTCAACCTGATGTTGGGGATAACCTACTATCTTACCTCCCCTTACCCCATTACATATGGGAATAAGGGTCAGCTAATTTTTTATAGTGTCTCTCTAATTTTGTTTAGTTTTAATTAATAATTTAATGAAAAGAACCTAAAAATATTAATTTAACTTCTTTTTAATATTATTATTATTAAATAAATTGGAAAGTAACGAGACATAACTTACAAGACATAGCAAACACGCATAGCATTAAAAATGTGGAGTGGATCCCATTCATTAAAAGGGAAATTATTTTATGGATATGGTTTATCATGTTATCTATGATTTTAGAGAATCACATCGATTAATTTTTAAATAATGGTATACTCTCTACTTATTTACATGTAGTAAAAAAAATAAAAATTTAAAATATTATTGTTTGAGACCATAAACGATGTGATGAGAAATACCGAAGTGGTCCAGTTGATAACATGGAAATTGGGACCAGTTTGCAAACCCCAAAAATCGGATTAAGACAACAGAAATGGTGGGGGGATTCCTTCATGCTGTGGGAGTGAAAGGGAAATGGGACCAGCGAAAGCAAATAACAAATGCATTTTCCTGGAGATAACATGTTGTGTTTGGTTCAGACAACTAAGTCGTGTGTCCCATCCCGTTCTTTCGGCTGACACCGTCACGTTATTATTGGCATCCCCCTCCCCCCACATGATTCATCAAACAGAAATCATCTCAAAAGAGATGCGCCATTATTTTTATATGAAACCCTTAAAACTCTAAATCTTCTCCCTACCAACATTTCAACGCCTTCTTTAGCATCACTATATATAATGGTAATCTAAATGAAATAAACCCTTTGTTATAAACAAGTTATGTTAATATTCGTAGCTCCAGTCAATGTCATCCAATTAATTTCTGATATCAACAATAAAATATTTTTAAATTTTTAATATGATAAATCATTATTGATATTATGGAGACATCATAATTCATAACCCATTTCTTGAAAGCTTTATTGATATTATTATTGAGGGGGATGATCTACCCCTCTCTCCCGTTGATACAAATGCTGATCCGAGCCTTGATCGTGATAATATTACTGATAATGTGGGTCAATCTTCTACGCTTTGTGGTAATACTCATCTTATGCGGACTAGAAGTAAGAGTGGTATTTGGAAACCTAAAGTTTTTTATGCTACTAAGATTGTTGATGGGGAACCACAAACGATTGAGGAAGCTTTTAAAGATCCATCTTGGAAGCGGGCTGCTCAGTCCGAATATGATGCTTTGATCAAGAATGTTCATACTTCGTCGTTGACTACTTTACCTGCTCATCATCGTGCTGTCGGGTGCAAGTGGATTTTTAAACTTAAAAAGAATGTTGACGGGTCTGTTGCTCGATACAAGGCGAGACTCGTTGCTAAAGGTTACTCTCAGCAAGCTGGACATGATTTTGTCTGTGGTTAAGCCAGCTACTATTCGTACAATTTTGTTAATAATGCGTTTCTTAATGGTGATCTAGCCGAGGAAGTCTATATGACACAACCCCCGGTTATGAGCAAGTAGACAAGAAGACTGTTGTTTTTCGTTTAAACAAAGCTCTTTATGGTTTAAAACAAGTCCCCGAGTCTGGTTTGAAAAACTAAGAGCATATTTAGTTTAGAAAAAGTTTGTGACTTCAAAGTCGGATGCATCGCTTTTTGTAAGAAAGACTGATGACAGATTGGTGTATCTTTTGGTTTATGTCGATGATATCATTTTGACTGGTAGTGATGATTCTGAAGTTCAAAGAGTTATAACCGATCTTGATGCTGTTTTTTCGCTTAAAGATATTGGCAGACTAACCTATATTTTGGGTATACAGGTTTCTTATACGAGCAATGGTCTTTTCCTCAATCAAAAGACGTATACTCAGGATCTTCTTCGGAAGTGTGGTCTTGAGAAAGTAGTTTGCCTACTCCTATGGTTGCAAATTGTAAGATGTCAAATCGAAGTGGGAACCCATTGCTAAATCCTACGGAGTATAGGAGTATTGTTGGGGGGTTTACAGTACGTTACTATTATGAGACCCGATATCTCGTTTGTTGTTAATCGGGTTTGTCAATTTCTTCCAGAACCATTAGATGAACATTATGTTGCGGTTCCACGTATTATGCGCTATCTACAAGGTACACTTGAGTATGGATTGAAATTTTATTATTCCGCTCGGTTATCTGTGGTTGGTTTTGCCGATGCAGATTGGGGATTGGATGTAGATGATCGGCGATCTACCACTGGTTTTTGCATTTATTTTTCTGGTAATTTTGTTTCTTGGGCATCTCGAAATCAACAAGTTGTGTCTCGCTCTCGCTCAACTGCTGAAGCGGAATATTGTAGCATTGCTTGTGATAAAACTGAGGTAATTTGGTTGGAGTCTTTACTTCAGGAACTTCACATTGCGGCTGATGGCAAACCTATATTGTGGTGTGATAATTCAAGTGCTGTTGCAGGTTCGGCAAATCCTGTTTTACACTCCAAATTTAAACATGTTGAGATGGATTTGTTTTTTGTTCGATAACGTGTTGCTTCGGGTCAGTTGGAAGTCAGTGAAGTTCCTGCATGTGAGCAGTTGCTGATCCTTTAACTAAACCTCTGTCAGGTCTGTTTTTTACTCGGTGCAGAGAAAAAACTAGGTGTTCGTAGCATGATCACTGATACTATGTAATTGTTCTGGATTTGCTGAGTGTTCTTGCGCTGTGTTCTTTTTTTTTCTCTACTGGTTTGTTGCTTTTTTCTTCTTCTTGTTGTTTGTTTACAGGTTGGGAGGACTAGGTAGTAGGAGGAATGTTAAGGATATATGCGTCTGCGAATAGGTTGTTAGGCCTTTGTGTTTGTTATTCTAGGTGCTATAAGTTGTTACAATAGTTAGGGTGGTTGTTAGACTATTGACAGCTCATAGCCAGCCTCCTCTCCTTGTATATATTCCCCCGGTCTCTTTTGAGATATTACAAATCAATAAAATATTGAGAGTGCTGCCTCTTTCTGTAGCAAGGAATCCTAACAGCACACAGCCAACAAGAAATTCAGATCCAATACCCCCGATGAGCAAAAGCAAGAGGGAACTGGCACTCTAGCTGTGTTTGAACACCATGGATTCAAGGAGCTTATATATGGTAAGAAAGCAGTGGAAAAAAAAACTAATCGGGGTCCTCTTATGAAAGTTTAAAGAAATAATGAGAAAAGGACGAGTAAATAGAACATGGCTTGCAGTTGGTGACTAAGTGAACTAGCAGAAAGCTCCTAAGACCGATGGTGAAACGACAAAAAACCATATTAAAGAAAAAGAGTAACAAAGGGATTGATCTCAGATGAATGGTTGACATTATTGCAACATAGCTGATCAAGCATCGGTTTATCTCATGGAGGTGGTGCCGTTCTCTGTTGCAACACCAATCATGCTTACATTGATTCAACTTATTAGACACAAGATTGGTTCAGAATTCAAGCTAACACAAGGTTTTGTAGTCTACTTTCCTTCAATTTTTCAACCAAGAAATACTATGTTGGCTGGTATTATGATTTTAAGAACCAAAATTCAATTAATCATAGGAAGTCCTTGAATCTCATCTGGCCCTGGGACCCAATAAGTTTCCAAAATCAACTTCTAAATCAAGCTCACCAGAATACCTAAGAATAATGAAAAGTAAAGAACAAACAACAAAATATATATTTGTAAATATCAATGAGCCAAATACCGTGGGAAAATTCCAGCCAGCCAACCAGTAACATGAAGCAACAAAGAATACCACTGTATTGTCAACTATGAATACGAAGCATAATAATTTATAAATCTCCAAAATGCTAAAGCACTAAGTTCTATCCATGTTTAAATTCTAGATAACGATTGTGCGATCTTATACAGAAAAGATCCTTCCAAAATTAGGGGTAATAGAGACTAACACATTCCAATAGTATTCTTAGCGGCTAAAACCAGGAAAAATAAGAAATAATACTTCTCATACTGAAGCATGTTTACCAGAGACGCTTTTAGCTTGGTTCTCTTCAGCATCCTCCTCATCGGCATCACCTGTCTGCCTAGACGCTGTTGATTCACGTAGCGGTCCAGTAACTGACTGCTGATAAAGAACACCTCCTGCCAGTGTGAAGAGGAGGCAGACCAACCCAAAGAGAGTAGCATGTTTATCCCAAATCAGCACATTGATCACAACTGTAAGGAACTTATTCACCACACCAGTCACGGTAAATGCCGTGGCAGAGATCGCCTTCCTAGCCGCAAACCCAAAGAAACTAATGAGCAAACCGAACAAGCACGACAAAGATACTGCTGTAAACGCCACAGGTTCAAACCAATCCCCACCATTGGCTCCCAAAGCAGCAAAAACCTCACTGTATTCTCCAGTCAAAACCCAAAATATGGGTGCCATCATCAAGGACAACAAGTTATTGTACAACACAAAACCCCAAGTGTTCAACCCAAGATTCATCACCATATGCTTAATGTAAACCATCTCAGTAGTAATTGTCACCAAATATGCAAACGCCCATGAATATGCAGTCAAAGTAAATGCCGAATCAGTTGCCACATATCCAACAGCACCACCCAGAATGATCAACAGAGAAATAAAAGTCAGCTTCGAAGGGCACGGTTGCCTCCTAAAGGTTGTATCAGCTAAGGCAACCAAAAGGGGTGTCAATGATCTAAACACTATGAAAGTATCAACATTGGCATGACGCAAAAGATTGGTGTTTGTGAAGATCGCAAGGTAGAAGACAATGGCAGCAGGCAAAAACTTCTTGGCAGTATCCCATGTGAAAGTATCATGATGTAAAAACCCAAACTTCCCTAAAACCCAGACTCCTAAAACAGAAGTTAGGTACTGTAACGCAGTTAACAAACCTGGGTAATTGAATTTGGTGATTGCAAATTTATTAATAACAGCAAGTAAGCTTGAACAAAGTGCATAACCAACTACCAAACTGCTTGTAGCATAGTATTGCTTAGTTGAATCAAAACGAATAGCCGACATTTTTCTCTCAGAAAGGATCTGATTTTATGTTGAAAAAAAAAACAAATACGGAGAAGACAAAATCAATATATCTCAAAGAAACTTGATAATGATGGATGAACTAGCGGAGATTATAGTAGGGTGTGAACAAGAAGAGGACTTCGTGGGCGAGAGAAATAAGGATTTGGGTATTTAAGATACTGATCTGCAAAATCTAAATCAAAAAGGAAAAATAGATTTAAAAGGAGAATAAGGAAATTAACCTACAAAGCTTTGAGATCGAAAATGAGTGGTTGATGAGGAGGTGAGTGGTGGGCAGAGGCGTACCGCTGTACTAGAAAGCAGAATCCGCTTGTTTGATAGGCTAATATCGTCACAGAAACACCAGTCAGCGAGGCTGAGGGAGGTAGCCACTTCTTTTCCCACGGTTCTATTAAAATCCAAGGGACAGGACGATTTCAGAGTCCCTTTAATTATTTAGGATAAAGTACTCATTTAGTACCTAAACTAATAGTTTTAGTTCGTTTCAGTATCTAAACTTTTATTTTTTTAAACTATCCCTAAAGTTTAATTTCTATTTCATTTTAGTACAGTATAGTTAAATTATAACTCGTTTAGTACCTAAAATATCAATTTTGGTCTGTTTTAGTACCTAAAATTTTAAAAAAATAAAAATTTAACATTACATTTTGAACATGAGTACTAAAATAAAATAAAAACTAAACTTTATATATGATTTAAAAAAATTAAAAATTTAGGTATTAAATTAGATCAAAACTGATAGTTTAGAAATTAAAGATGTAATTCACCCTAAAATTTAAAACACGACACCGTCTATGACAGACAATTAAATTTAAGATTATCTAGCTCTATCTAAAAAATGTTTTTCAAATTTAAATTTAATTTAAAATTTAAATGTCTGATATTATTATCCAAAATTATTTTAAAAAATTATTATACTGAATATGATATTACAAATTTAAAGTATATATTTAAATTCTTTAATAATATAATATATAAAATATATTAATTTAAGTTATAACATTTTTTTAATTAAAAATAAATAAATTTATATCGACTGTATGTGAAATATGTAAAATTTTAATCATTTTTTTATCTTTTAAAAAATTAAACTAAAATAATTTATTGTTAATTTTTTTTTTAAAAACTAACAAAAACATTGACAAAGGATAGGTTGAGTACTTGAATTAAATATGCTTAAATATAAAAAGGTGTCCAATATATGCCTTTTGTTTAAATTTAGTGTTTAACATTTATTTTGTTTCAGTATGATACTTAACGTTTTATTTCGTAACTCAATTTGAGATGAGTTATGACGGACCATTAATTTTGACCGTTAAATTTCACTTAACACATTTTTAATATTAAAAAATAATTTTTGAAAAATAAGAAATTAATTAAATTAGATTAATTGAAAAAATTAAGCACATGTTCATCTTCTTCCCCCCTCCCTCTCGTTTTCATCTTCTTCCTGCCCTCCCTCTTGTTTTTGTTCTGTTTGATTCATCAACATTAGCTATGATGACAACCTTACTTTTACTTGCTCTTCTTTTCATCGTCCGTTTCCTTAACATTTACTTTGCTTTTTCTCCCAAAAGATTTTATGCTTGGCTTCCATCCAACACATGTTCTTCATCATCTTCAGTAAATTCAAGAAACTAGAGCAGAAAAGAGTATTCGTCACCTTCGACAAAAACGGCGATGGATTCATATCGAAGCAAAAGCTAAGGGAATCATTGAAGGTCATCAATTTTTTGTGGCGAAAAAAGAGTCGGAAGAAATAGTGATGAACCTCGATTCAAATGGTGATGGGTTGATCGATTTCGATGAGTTTTGGGCCTTGTGTAAAGCCATCGACAGCGGCGATTTCAGTTAATCATTTCAAGAAAAAAAACTTTAAAAAAAAACTTCAAACAAAAAAAAACCCAACAAAGTGAAGAACTTTCAAGAAAAACCCATAAAAATATTTCCAAACGGAAACGAAACCCCCCAACCCCCCCCCCCCCCCCGAAAAAAAAAGCAAATTACGTCTGGCTTGTTGAGGAACAATGGGTGTTGAAGTCATCTTCGATAATCTCTTCACCATAGCTAATGTTAATGAGAAAGGGGAAGAGAGGGAAAGAAAGGGGGAAGAGAAAGAGAGGAAAAAATCATTTTTTCAACAACAATCTGCTTGTGTCTCTCAATCTCACTGGTAACGTCTTTGAGGGGCCATTTTCTTTCAATATTTCTAAGCTTTCAAAACTTGTTCATCTTCAACTAGCTACCAATATGTTAAATGGTTCGATTCCTGAGACTATAGGAACCCTGTATGAGCTTGAAAAATTATCCTTAAAATATTAAGAGATATGATAAATTTATTTTGATAGTCATAAAAAAATTTAAATTTAAAAAAAACAAATTTAATGGGTCAAGGAAAGAGTAATATATTGATAATGAGTGGTTATAATTATCATTAAACATATACATTTAAGAGAGAAATTATTTCATAAATCTTATTCATTATCTCATTCATGGTCCCTATCCAATTAAATGAATACACATCATATTTATTTTTCTACATCATATTTTCTTATGAATTAAAATTTTCAAATAATTATCTCTTTCTTTATTCCATCGCTTTCTTCTCTAATCTTGAAGCATCAAATTTCATATTTTATTTTTCTTTTATTTATTTCAAAGTTTTTGTTTTTTTATTGCGTCTTTTTGTATTTTTAAAATTTTTCTTAATCAACAAAAATTATTAATTTTTCACAACTATTTAGGGTTCATATCAAGTGTCAGCAGTGTTAAGGTTAGGAGTTTATAAGTTTTTACAGATTTGTGCAGGGAGAAGTATAGTAGATCTTTTTTTTCCTTGTTTTCTATTGAAGTGGTATACTTTTCTTTTAAATTTTTTAATGTATCTTTTTGTTTGTTAAGATAAAAAATAAAAAAAATATAAAAGGATTTGATAAAAAAACAGAAAATTCAAAAGGAATTTAAAATTTTATATTGATTTTAAATCTAGATTATAATGATGAACCAAATAAAAACAAAACAAAATATGAAGATTTGATGCTTGAAGATTAGGGAAGAAGAGGATGAGATAAAGAAGAAGATGATGATTTTAAAATTTTAATTCATAATGAAATATGATATGGAAAATAAATGTGATGTATACACATTTAATTGGATAGAGATCATGGACAAGGTTGTGAACATGGTTCATGAAGTAATTTCTCCATTTAGAATTAGCATACTGATTGCTAATGACATTGAATACATCCCATGCTTTCCTTAAATTATATTTAGAATGATAATTGTAAATCCACTCATGCATATACTGAAAGACAACACTCCATAATAGAAGTGCAAAAATGTTGGTTTAAAAGCCCATGGTTAGGGTTTTAATGCTGTTAAGAGTAAATTGCAGTAAAGACTGACTATTTATCTACGAGTCACACGGCAGGAGCGAAATCATAGCCGCCATTATCATCATCATCATCACCCTCAAGAGAAGCAGCAGGGGCGCAGTCGTAGTCTCCATCATCATCATCATCATCGCCATCTCCTTCGATGCATGCTGCTGGCGCATAGTCAAATCCATCGTTGTCATCGTCATCTCCATCGACATGCTTCTTGCACCATGAAGCAACAACCTTGGATAAAGGTGACATTTTGAATAAGGGGGTGTTTGAAAATGTGAGTGGAGCTTTGATTTGTATCGAAGAACAGCTGCTCTAATGGTGGGTTGTGTTTGGTGTTGGAATTGCCATGAGTGCTTATATAGATGGTGGCCTTGGCAGAGGGGGCGGACGGAGTCTTTCTGCAACAAGGCAAGCACGCGAAGAGCGTGGACTAAAGACCAAAGGCTGTGCTGCCTTGTGCAAGACTAAATGCCTAGCATATGTGGCGGTATACGGTCCATCCACCTAAGCTGACGATTCAGCAAAATTCTCCTCAGCATCTCACCACTGACCTTTGATGTTTGGTAAGGTCATCTTTGGGTTTTTGTAAAGGGTCAAATATAGGATCCCCTTTATGGCAGGATGGTGGGCAAGACTGGTAATACAATTTTTTCCTTTTTATTAATATGAGATAATTAGAAGATAATATTTATTCAAAAATAATTTTTAATTATTTAATAATAAACGATTATATCCATTACATTTCCAGGGCTAGAATCCAAAACCATTTATCGTTGAGTTGGTTTGGTTCGTGATGTGGCAATACAAAGTTATTACACTTACAAATTGGCCGCTGTTTTGCAGGATATGAAAAAGTAAGGATTGTTATCTTCCAACACGTGGTTTGGAACTAGTTAAAGCCAAACAGTGGTGGCATCATCATGCAACATTTTGGCATGTACGATCGATTACATTTTTCTCAACCTATTGAATTGCTTTTCAAACAATATAACAATAACCATGCCTGATGCCTTTCTGATTAATTAGGGAATCTTAGATGGACAAACACACGTGGTTGGTATTATTAAATCCTCACCATCTTATTAAATTGTGTTATTATTTGATACTTAATAAGTACACAAGTGATTGTAATCAAAATTATAAATACATATAATACATATTCGAATAATTTTTATAAGAATTAATTATTATAAAATACGATAAAATTTATAATCGAAAAATATTAGCATACGGTCTACACGTGAGACTTAACCCATGTACGAGTTAAATGTCACATAAAAATATAAGCTATTTTATAGTAATATATAAAAATAAAACTAAATAAAAAAATATAATTTGATTAAATATTTTTTTAGTATTTGCCTCTAATTGTATAAGGTTAATAGAAATTCACATAATGGAAGAAAGGTACAGTTTTGGATATTGGTTCTACTTCGATGTCATTCGGTGAGTTCCATCATCACAGTTCACGTATCGTACGTACAAAGTACGTATCATGCAACACTTCACATGCATGAACGTAGAAATGCATGGAGTTTGAGTCATCACATCCAACTAAAAATAACATCATGATATCTATTAATTATTAATGATTAATAATTAATTAAATACTTAGCATTGCGTAAGCTGTGTTGGTGGAGTCACTCATAATTTTCTTAATTAAAAAATCTAGTTAATTAATTCTTGTGACATCTCTTAATTCATTGACTCCATTACATAAAAGAATAAGATGGGTCTTTTGATCAATTAATAATAATTTACTTATTCAAAATTCCACACGACTGCATTAAATTTCTTCATGTGATATGAGAAAAGAAAATCAATTATAGATCATTGAATACATCATGCTATTGCTATATATAGTAATAATGTCTCATCTCTATTATAATAAGATTACATCATGCAAGAATACATTTATAAGCAGTATTGTTGTTAATTATGCTAAGTAACCTTATTATATGTTAACCTCTCCCCAAAGAGAAACAGA